CACAAGCCAGCATGTGGTCAGCAATAATGGAGCTTCCAATTGGCTAGTATTTGTTATAGATTATAGCGTAAACATTCAATACTTCATCTGGTGGATGTAGATGCCATTCGGTTGAATAGACCCCCGACGTTGTCAGCAATTTGAGCTGCACACTGTTAGTATAATAGAACTTGTACACCTCATACTCCTCAATTGATGGCTTGAGGTCAACAAGATCGTTCAAGTAGAAATAGCAGGTTAAGGGTATTAAACTGGGGCAAAATCCTCAAATTTCATTTAGCGTATATTTTAGCCTCGACAATTTAACACCCTAACCCTGAAAGGACACCTCCGAGTAACACCCTAACCCTGGATGTACTTTACTCTCATTGGTCAGAACGGTCATAATAATAACACTATGTTGCGGGACAGCAAGAACCGACCAAAATTCTGACCCCACTTCCAGCAATATCACTCCACCTCACACCATGGATACCCTCTTATATAATACATCAGATGATATATTTGCCATTTAAAAATAAAACCTACTAATTTTTGTTTTATGAAAATTAAAATTGACCGAGATTTGCTAGATTTTGCCAAGCCTGTACATTATGCGAACCGAAATTTGGCACTTACATAAATGCATATAGTTGCACGCTTATGCTATAAATATAATTAATATAGATTATTATCAACACCATTTCCGCGTAACGGATGCCTGATTTAGGTCCCAGAAGCCCAAAATGGCATAAACCACAACCTCCATGCATTTACGTCAGGATTAGGGTGTATGGCACTTTCAAATTGTTTTGGTCGGTTCTTGCTATCCCGCACCATAGTGAGGTTATAATGACTTATAAGATAGTCTTTGACACGCGTCTACAGGCGCGCCAAGAAAACACATAAGTAGTATTTTGTTTAGTCCCAATAAAGCTAGTCGAATTCCTAAATAGGAATAGCGTAGCCCTGACCCTGAAGTAAAGGTGTGATTACTCCGACGACAACGGTGAGCGATCGCCATAGTTAAGAGCGAACGTACCACCGCATTTGGTACTGCTAGAGGTTTATCACTTTTTGTCTAAACAAACAGAACTGCTACACTCTGTAGAAATAATACTGTTAACATGTTAAATTTTTTATTTAGGTTAAATGGTTTTTGGTGGTGGTGATATTATTTATGTTGTGTGTAGGTACATTGTTGCGACAACTTTTGGCACCATACCTGAACCAGAATTTTTTGTGAGGCGCCCTCAACATATATGTGAGTTTTTATAGATTAGAGCAGTACTACACTTTGGTTTCATATAATAGAGTATCTAGTGCATCAAAACAATGAATTTTATTGGTGGCGCAAATTATGGGTACTTCAAATTCAGATCTTTAACTATAATATCATATTGAAAACTTCTAATACTGCCTGTGCCTTAGGAACGCAGAAGCCAGCGAACGTACGACGGGACGTGGATAACACATGGAAATCAGGTGCAGTTTTTGCTGTCCATAGTAGGCGGATATCGATAAGACTTGTTCAGTAACCGCAGAAGCACATCACAGTCTGCCATGCTTGCTTGAACGTCGCGCTTTCATATGACGCCTCTTCATGATAGATGCAGATTGCCTCAGTGACCGATTTTCGAGATCATCTGACAGTGAGTCTTTGGATTTCTCGTGTAATAATCTTGACGGCTCTCGCCTTCGAAGCTTGCGTACTTTGATGCCGGCCTTGTGTACGTCCGGCAACATTTCGGACGCGAGACCACTGGTAATTATTTCGGCCTTAATTTTGGCTTGCTTCAGTATGTGAGTGGACCTGTTCTTTCGATTCGTATTTTTTGTCACTTTAGAGGTTGCGTGCATATTCTGTTTTCTGATCTTGGTCGTGGTTGTGCTGTTACTACTTTCCATCGTCCTTTTGTCAGAGTATCCGACTATTGTAAGTGGCATTTTGCCCTTTCTATCTCTCTTTAATGGAGTAACTCTGCTTTTGGCGATAGCCTCAGACTCCACCCGGTCAACCTTTTTGTTCTTAGTCTTTTCTCTCTTGATGCCTGTGCCAATTTTGACGGTGGCATGAATCTCTTCACTAACGATTCGCTTCGCTTCGATATATGCTTGGCTAGCTAATGTGGACGATGCACCTCCCCCTCGATCCTGTTCGATAGCTGACAACAGCTGATCATACACCGCTCGTTCCTCCGCCAAAATAATTAACAGCATTTGGCATCGCTTGCATAACTTTTGGACATGTGGCCGGAAAAATAGATACCGAAGTTGTCTATGCGTGCAGGTCAATACCTCTTCGTTGTCGCCTCGTCTCTTAATTGAAGTTTCGGGCTTATTGGCTGGCGAACGCTTGATTTCCAGAGGCCGTTCTCCTAGGTCTGACGACGAAGTGTTAACCGTGACATCTTCGGCTGATGGCTTTCTCAGAGAGCCGAAGTAGCTGAAGGATAGTCGACGAGGAGGAGATATTTGTCCACACTCAAGTTCACTAGATTGCTCGCCTTGATACTCGCAGAGTGCAGGAGATCTCCGTAAGAGGAATGTCCACGGAGGCATGTTAAGCATTGATCGGCAGCTATATAGTGAACTAGGGACAAATTAATCTACCTATATTGTCAAGTGAGCATTGCTAGATAAGGCGCGAATACGCGGAGTTTATATACGCTGAATGAACAAGGAAAGGCGATCGGCGGTTTCGTAATATTGATTTTCATTTTGACTGCGAGCTCTTCTCACGCCAAAGACTCGGTCATCAGAGAAGCCTTTGAACGATTCCTGTAGTCTTGAGCACCACACCAAGAATACACTGGCGACGATAATATCAAATTAATTACAAACAGCTGCACGGCAGCCCCGGTTGCACACTTTAAGAATAGTAACTAATTGATCCGACTCGACTCAACCAATGATGTCAGGATATCAATGCTATGCAATATTAATTATTATTTACTTTGGCGATTAGATTTATGTCTGAATAGTTGGGCTCCTTTTGGCTCTAGTCGCCACTGCAGGTGCGCCGGCTGGGTGCCTAAACAAAAGCACAAAGCTAGCCTCGACGACCAACACCCTTGTATCATACCACTAATCCACATTGGTTCCGACTTAGTAATTAGTATGACCTGATTCGGCGAGTGCGTCTACGAATGTTGCACGATACACGGGTGGTACATAATTTTGCTGCGCATATTTATTGTAGCCGAGAACCAAATGAATCGCCCGACTACGTCTCTACTATCTCGCTTACTGATTATGCACGTGGCTGTCAAGCCTTTGTCTCGCGCGCTCTCGGGCGCCAGGAGCCGGGTCTCCTACACCGAGGATCACGAACGCGCGATTAGAAAACTCTGCTACCTCTATCAAGAGGAGTATAAGTCTGCGAACCGCACGAGGTTCTTCCAAATGATCGCACAACTCTTCAATGAGGACTATGGTTCGTGCACCAATTCGTTTACCGAGCTTTTGCACTTGGCTAAAGAAAAATATGAATTCGCCGACCGTTCGTACTTTGGTAATCAATATGCTAAAGAAAAGGCGACAAGAGCAGGAGCAGATGATGGCCACCGTACCTGAAGTTGGACAATGTCTTCGGGGCAGGCGTTGGATTCATTCCCGATCCATTTTGATGTGGTGAATGCTCAGGTGCGCGCTTTGAAGTCACAGAATTTCCATGAGAAACGGAAGATTGACGCTTGGGTAGACGCGAGCGATAGATGAGACGAGAGCCAGACCGATGAGTTGGATGAGGAGGAAGCGACATCGTCGGTGGACGAGCACACGCGTGCCAGAAAACGGACCAGAGGTTCGGAAGCACCTATCACTATTGACATTATTGGACTTGACTCTGCAATTTCATAATTGGTTACTGCTTTCGAGCAATCTGCCCGGCTCGTCTTGTCCAAGATGTCCGCGTGTCTAAATTAGAGGAAAGACTCCCATAGATAGACAACAAGATCCAGGAGTTCCAAAACAAATTAGACTCTAAGATGCACTCTATAGAATCTAAAGCAGACTCTATTAGATAGACTTGGAAACTAACTTTTATAGTTTAATATCTTCCAGGTGGTCTTTCTCGTGTTGTAGTTTATGGTCCTTTTATTTATCTTAGCAGGCAACAATAACATTTATTCATGTAATAGCAATTAATTTATCATACAAAAAATCAGCACCGATGACCACCTCCCTCGGACTCTATCGCCATCCATGTCATAGAGATCGAAAGTGCCAGTATATGGTATTGGCGGCCAGCGAGGACGATCAGAGTGCTGACTTATGCGACCTCAGCTGGTCACACGAAGACGGATAACAAGGGACGGCGACAGCAGAGCCAACTTGGTCACATCCACAAAAAAATAGGTTTGCACGTTGCGTCCGCTGAGCTTGTACGGCGGAGACTCTGAGTCCGAGGCCGCTCATACAACAACGCAGAGTTGCAATCGAAATGTCCGAGACCCAACGCAACTGCACGAAAGCGCTTTTATAGTATTCCTTGCGTACTGCCAAGCATAAATTGTCTGGGCTAAATGACTTCCCACTTCGCGCGACAATACAAATAAGCTCTACCCCTGATTTACTGATTGACAGGCCTACAGTCCAAGTTTAACTTGCAAATTTTGGTATGATATCACATACAGACAGTTTATCGGGTGTTTTGGTTAACCGAAGTCTGACGTTAACCTACAGCGAAATCTGCTCCAAACAAAATTATTAACAGGGCGATTGATGAGACCCTCCCAAACTTATCTGGCAGATCGTTCTCTGAATTGATCTCTGAAACATGCAACTAGCTGAGTCTGGCTCCAGAATATATCAGAGATCACCAACCGCACCAATCTGTAAACATATTATCGCCAGTAACTTAGTTGCTGCGTTGATCGTCTCCTTTTCCTAACGTAGATTTACTTCGTTACCGATATACGATATGTCGCAGCACAACACAACCAATTGATTCAGCGACAATTTCTGCAACTCTAGTTTTCAGAATGTTCACTAGAAAGGATGCAACATTCATAAAAAAACACCCCACGGGGGTCTCGAACCCCCAACCTTGAGATCACCAACCCAATGTAAATAAGAGTCTCACGCTCTGCCAATTGAGCTAGCAGGGTATGAACTTAATGTGGCATGTAAAAAGGAGCTTATGTATTATTGCCGACCGAACCCACTATGGGCTTCTGAAATTAATTTGAGATTATCAAAATAAGACATTTATTTAATCAGTCTGTTATTCTTTTTCGCTTAGTCCGACAATGTCTCCGACTACTCGCTCTCAGAGGGGGGCATTCGGGTGCCGCCAGCAGCGACACTCGTGGTCAAGACAGCGCGATCCTGGGCCGATGTCGCGGTCTTCAACGCGGTTAATTGGCCACCTCGCGATATTATTGACCGTCGGGACACGGTTATCGTTCAAATTCAAACGGGTTCTTCTTTCACGGTAGAACAGATGGAGCCGCCGTTTGAGCTCATCGGCGTCTTCTCCAATCCCGCTCACGGCTATGAACATGTCACTTCCGCCTTGGAGCCCTATGGCACCATTCTCCAGGCAGATTTCCTGCGGGTCGGTAGCAGCCCTGTCCATGATCATGCACTCGAAGTCATCTTGGCGTTGAATGAGAAGCACACACTTCCGCTTCGCACTCTTCCACTCGTCAGTCCTGCTCCCCATTTTTTCAAATTCTCCTCGCTTGTTCGTATCCGTTATGTCTGAGGATCCGGCCGAATTCCGCTCCCCGACCACCAAACGCTCTTCGGCCAGTGGATCCGATGACTCCTTGCCGCAACAGACTCTTTTGGCAGCTGCACCCACTGTTCCCTCGGCTCTGGCAAGGAAAGACTGGCAATGAGGCCCAAGATGGCTAACAAGGAAGTTGCCCAGAAATCCAAGAAGGTCAAACTGTATCCCACGGCAGAGGAGAAGAACATACTCGAAAGGTGGATTGGGACGGCGCGTTGGACATACAACGAATGTCTGCGAGCCATAAAGGTTGAAGGAGTGGCTAGATCGAAGAAGGTGTTGAGGGCAAGGAAGAGGCAGCAGAGATGCTGCAGAAAGATCTGGCCTGAGGATACTCCCTACGAAATCCGGGACGCGGCGATGGATGACCTCCTGAAGGCATTTGCGCCTGGAGCAGCAAGGTACAAGAACGACAAGAACCCGTTTGACATCCGCTACCGCTCTCGAAACAAGTGCTTTCAGGAGAGCATTGTCATCCACAGCAAGCTAGTGGCAAGTCGCCAAGAGAAGCTGTCTTATGACAGCCGACTGGTGAAGGGAAGGCACCCAAGGCATTTTACCTGTGTGTACCCGGGCCAATAGAGGAGGTGGAGGGCCCCTGGTTTCGTCGAGGGATATATGTTCCCTTCCTTTTTATAGATTCTTGAGCTTAATCTATACATATGCGAGCATAGCTACTCGCCCTTCGGCGCTGAGCTGGTCTCCTTGCCATCTGGCCTGCAGGGCGGGACCACCAGATCTCGGCATTTTTGTTCGTAATGTTCAAAATCCAAGGTTTGGTGGGCGTCTAATACAAGTGTTATTAAGGTGTCTGATAAATTCATATGCATTTAAGAGTAGCAAATGCACCAATAAAGTTGTATTCACTCCTCTGTCGTAAGTCTATATAGTAGGCAGTCGGAGAAAGAGCTCTCTTGGAATGAATTGCTGTGACACCCGAAAGTATGCCATAATACTAGGCCTGTTTACGAACCATTTTTGAACGTAACAATGGAGACGCCATTTCTCGAGCTTCCCGTGTAGACGGCTGCAGTTGGAGTTTTGGCTTGTGAGGCGACAAGCTCTCGAAGAAAGACAACTTCGGTTGTGGCTGGATGGTCTGCGCATACTTATTCCTCGGACCTTCCGGGGATGTTGGACTTGTTGGAAGTGTAGGTGCACTCCGAGACAAGTCACGTCTTTTCAGACTCTTATTTTTCTCCGCAATTCTTTGGTTCAATTTGTCCTGTCTCCTTCTCTCAGCCTCTGCATGGCTCGTGGGCTCTGCCGTCGGCCTCCCACTTGCTGTAATCTTAATGTTGTCTGACGAGAAAATTGGATTTGACATGGACTCCATCCTTGCTCGCTTTACTACACTCATCTTCTTTAATGCCGCCGTAGAGTTCTGTTGCAAGTGCCGTTTCTTCCTTCTCTGGGCTTCCATAGGGTCTTCAAATATATCCAGAGTAACAATCCTCTTCTGCGCTTTTTCTCGTTCCAGCGCTTCGTATTGCGCTTTAACTCTTTCGGACGTCTTCTTGAGGCGCACCCGGCGAGCTTCAAGTAGCCTGTAGTATTGCTTTCGAACGTCTCCTCGTTTTGGAACATTCAACTCCTGTATTTCTTGCTCGCTAAATGTATCTCGTAGAAAGCTCTCCCACAGCTCATCCGCTTCGATTTGGATATGCTGTTCATTTGCGTTAGCGAAAATGAATGAACCGCCAAGAACTTATTCAAGCTCACAGGGCTATTCTGTTCAACAGCAATCTAATGAACCATATTAACATTATAGTAAGCAAAGTCTCATGGCATTTCACGCACCAACTGGCTAGGTCCCATTCTGCTCAGGACGGGCTTTATGATATCGTACGGAATGTCGCCAACATCAATAATACCTAACCACGTCGATACTGATTAGTAACATGCTCCACACTCTCATCACGAAGACACCTTACGATTAGCATGAAACATGCATGTTTGCAGGCATATCTGGAACAACGACATCGGTCCCTCTGACTCGATATGACCAGGCTTGATGCCGAACACTGCTTCCTTCTCGGCGGAACTCAGTGCGCCAATCGTCGTCATTGACTCCTCTGACTCCTCCACGTCATGTTGCTCGCTACCCATAATCCTCTGGATATTACACTATATACGTAAAGTTAAAAGTGGTTGTGGAGATTACTGACATTATTGTAAAGATGCTCCCTCACAGTTGGTTCCTTGCAGAGGGTTAGGACTATCCTTGTACGTCACGAATGACGCAAAACCTATTGAATGCGACCTAGGTCGCGTCGCTCATGTACTTCAACTCATTCTGCAACCACACTGTCGATTTGGCAATCATATATATATGTTAACATATCAAGTAGCAAAATAAATGTTAATGGATGCCACCCCGTCACCCGCCACCTCTAGCTAATCCAAAATTCGCCGCAGCGCTTGCGAATCATACGTTCGACAACGAAGATGGCGCAGAATACGCCGGTTCTGAGTTTGGTGGGTTTGGCGAGTATTTCCGCAACAAGAAAATCAAGCTCCAGAATCTAGATGCACACATACGTGAATTTGACAGTGGTACCGAGAGGCCGGCAATATTCAAGGGATGCATAGTTCATGTGAATGGATATACATCACCCAGTATTGGAGAGATCCACAAGTTGGTAGTAATTTACGGTGGCGTCTTCAGTCAGTATATGGATGGTAAGACGGCTGTTACACACATAATTGCCTCATCTTTGGTGCGTAATTGAGACGTTCGTTTTGAGAGAGGACCTAACGTGAATAGACTCCGAAGAAAATGGTCGAGTTTGGTCGGTATAGAATCGTGAAACCGGAGTGGATTACCCAGAGTATTGAAGCTGGCAAACTTCTTCCATGGCATGATTTTCGGGTTATTCAGCCAACAGCATCTCAAAGACGACTTACTATTGCTCCAGTCATTAACCAACAAGAAAATGAGCAGAGCAAGCGATCAAATCCCTCGCCTGTCGTTTCGCCTGTGAGATCGCCACTGACACAACCACATACTCCTGTAACAGTTTCTCCATCGAGAACTCCTCAGCTGAATGCATTTGATACGCCATCGAGGAAATCGTCGCCTCTGATAATGCCTCCCAAATTATCAGAAAAGTTTACATCTACGGAACATAACGCTGTTCTGCTTGCCAATCCAAATACTCGGAACTCCACAGTTTTGAATCCAGATTTCTTGAAGACATACTACGGGCAATCGCGACTTCATCATCTAAGTACGTGGAAGGCAAAATTGAAGCTCAAGTTTCAAAGTCAGATATCAGCCTCATCGACACCGGCATCGAAACGTCCTCTGGACTGCCCAGCTAATACTCGTGTTATATTTCACGTTGATTTTGACTGCTTCTTTGCATCCATAGCAGTTAGAAGTCGACCGCAGTACGCAGATAAACCCGTATGTGTGGGGCATGGTGGAAATCAGAATTCGGAAGTCGCAAGCTGTAATTATGTTGCGAGAGAATTTGGAGTGCGAAATGGCATGTGGTAAGTTAGTAGCAAATATTCGCAGAGATGCTGGCTAATAAGCTATCAGGATGCGACGTGCTAAAGAGCTCTGTCCGGAGCTGATAAGTCTTCCGTATGATTTCGACGCATACGAACAAGCATCAAGCCATATGTATAATGTACTGATCGGTATTGGTGCCGACAAAATCGAAGCCGTGTCGATAGATGAGGCCTTACTTGACGTTACATCTCTCTGCTGGTCCTCCAATGACGACGAAATCCAAGCAAAATCGCTCGGCCTTGCCAAGTCGATCCGCAATAGAGTATTTGAATTCACGCAGTGTCATGTTAGCGTAGGTATAGGTGGCAATATATTGCAATCTAAACTTGCTACCAAATGGGCCAAGCCTGCTGGTCAGTATCGCGTACGACCGAACGAAATTGCGCAATTGATGAAGGGATTGCAGGTTGAGGATCTTCCCGGCATTGGATACAGTATTGGCGGTCAGCTTAATGAGAGATTTCATATCGACAAAGTAGGCGATATCCTCACCGTGTCAAAGTCAAAGCTTCAAAGTATTGTAGGTGGGAAAACTGGAGATAAGCTTTATTTATATGCCCGTGGCGAAGACTTTCGCGAAGTCGGCGAGATTTCAATGAGAAAAAGTGTTAGTGCAGAAGTCAATTGGGGAGTACGCTTCGAAGCGAAAGAGCAGGTTGACACGTTTCTCCGATCACTGGCGAGCGAATTATCAAATCGTCTTACAAATCTGTCTGTGATCGGTACCAACCTGACACTGAAGGTCTATAAGCGCTCAGAGAATGCCCCTCTGGAACCGACCAAGTATCTCGGTTGCGGAGAGTGTGACACGTTCAGTAGGTCGTACACTACGGCGTCTCCCACATCGGATCCGC